CCATAGGAACCACTCCTTTGAAATACCACAATCTTATCTCCTGTATCCAAATGAATGGTTGGCAGCAACAAGTCTCTCAACCTACCAGAGGTGAAAGTACGCTGGATCTCATTTTTTCATTGGGCATACCTGCAATCAGTGTTAGCGTTCTTGATGAATTTCCGGGGAGCGATCATCGCGTAATCAAATGCTGTCTAAGACTACGCATGTCAGATGTACAGAAAAGAAAGCATTATCGTCTGTTCAATTCTGTCAACTGGGACTCATTCAAGGACCTGGTTCGTTCGATGAATTGGGATAAATTCTTTCTCTCTTCATGCCCTCAACATGCGACGGACCTGTTTTATAGTATAATCGGCTTCTGCATCGATTCAGCAATACCACTAAAATGTGCTTACCAAACCAAACCTAAATCCGATCGCAAGGCATTGAAGGCAGCGCGAAAGCTTCATAAGATTCGTCAGAAATTCAAGTTAAGTGCTGACTTTGCGCTATTATTACTGCAGTCGAAGCTCGTGGAAGAACAAAGGCATCAACGTGACAAAACTCTCATTCTAGAAGAGTATAAAGCTCTGAATGGCCTTAGCAAAACAGCTGAGTTAGCCAAACTATTCCGTGCCCGGGGTTCGCGTTGCAGTGACAATCTCAGTTTTATCACCACGCCTGATGGAACATACTACGACGCACCAGGTGATATCTGCGAAGCTTTCAGTGCTTATTTTGCCGAATCAATGCTCACTGAATCATCAGATGCACCAACATTTATCATGCCGCACAATAATGAAGGTCTATACACAGTGGAATTCACTATAGCGAAAATCACTAGTCAAGTCGCTCGCTTATACTCTTCAACGTGCGCAGGCCCTGATGGGATTCCCCCATGTTTAATAAAAAGCAGTGGTAGTGACTTCCTTCTGCTTTTGCTCAACCTCTTTACACTCTCTTTTAACAACGGAGTATACCCTACTCAATGGAAAACTTCTGTTGTTATCCCGCGACATAAAAATGGAGCTGCCCACGAGGTTAAAAATTTTCGTCCCATCAATCACACTCCCATCGTATCTAGAATAATGGAAAGGATAGTGAAAAATGAACTATTTATATTCTTGAACAAAGCTAACATCATCAGCAATTCGCAACACGGCTTCATGCAAGGTCGATCCTGCGCAACATGCCAGACTGACTTTTTAAACTACACAACGGCTGCAATTGACAACGGAAACAGTGTCGTAATCCTGTTCCTGGATATGCAAAAAGCCTTTGATAGAGTGCCTCACAGAAGGTTACTAAACAAACTAAAGGCTATAGGCATTGGAGAACCGATGTTCTCTTGGCTGTCTTCATATCTAATTGGTAGACAGCAGGTTGTGCGCATAGGCGACCATTTCTCTAAACCGAAAGCAATCACTAGTGGAGTGATTCAAGGGAGTGTTCTTGGTCCACTTCTTTTTTAATTTATATTAACGATATATTCCAGAGAATAAGAAATGGTGTTGCATTTATCTTTGCTGATGACATTAAAGTTGTCTACTCACAACCACGCGCAAATACTCAGGAAGCCTTACGTCTCATTCAGGATGACCTATCCGCCCTTGACTCCTGGTGCCAACTGTGGCAGATGTCATTTGCCGTGGACAAGTGTAATATTTTGTCGTACAAATGCCAAGTACCGCCAGAAAGTTTATTACTACAAGGTGCCTATATCTCGCAATGCAGGACAATTCGCGACTTGGGCGTGCGATATTCAGTTACTTTTAACTTTTCTGAACACTGTGACTTCCAAGTTTCGAAAGCCATGAAGACCATTGGTTATATCTGCCATCATTTTTACCTTACGGAATCTCGCATATCGCTTTACAAAACACATGTACTGCCGTGTATGGAATACTGTTCAATGGTACAGTCTAATCTACGGAAATCTGACCAGCACGCTCTTGAGAGGATCCAGAGACGCTTCACGAAAAAGCTATGTGGATATTCCTCAAAGTTGACATACAGGGAGCGATGCGATAAACTTGGATTTGACCCAGTTTGGCTACGAATAATGAAGCTGAACCTATGTTTTCTTTACAGAATCATAAATTATCGAATTCGCAGTCCTGAAAACGGTGTTCACATATCTGTAAACAGCAGATACCCAATACGTAACAAAGAGGTAAAGGTCATGATTCCAAAATTTACTACGAGAATCAGAGAACGTTTCTTTCTAACCCAATACTCAAAGATTTGGAACAAACTCCCAAGTGATATCAGAACATGCCATACTCTTTGCAATTTTAAGCTTGCTATTAGTAAGCATTTAACCGTCCAAAACGTGATTAAGATGTTCGGGACATCACAGTCCCTAGATAACGCATTCGAAAACGGTATCCATGGTGTCTGAATAAATTTCCGAAACACATACACATAACACTTCGGACAACAGCCCCTTTCATTACATTTTTTTCTTTTGGCCCAAATATCTGTCATGTGATTGTGAAGAATCCTGATTCAATGGCAGGAAAAAATAGCAGAACGATTCTGATTACTCTGTGTAACATAATTTGCAATTGCGTCCATGTTTATCTCTGAAAATGTATTGATGAAATGTCATGGAAAAATTGTACCATTATTTGATCTGTTCCTTATAGAGAACAGCTTCTCGCATCGTCGTAAAGTCATGGAATCCGTCGTTGCAGTTGCCCCTTACGTATTTTTAGAAAGGTGCAATATCATCCTTCAATAGCCAGATGTATTTCACCAAAACTGCTGATGTACCACGAAGGTTTGTTAGCCTGTGCTAGCTGGACACAATCTGCAGATGTTGGAGAAAATGCCGACGTCTTCTACCTAGATTTCTCGATGGATTTGATCGCCTTGATAAACGGATTTTTCTTCGCAAGCTTCGAAGCCACAGGATTGGTGGCATTATTTTGTGCTAGATTCATTCCTTCCTACTCTTATACCGCTTTATACGCTAGTTCGTAGCGCTATGTTCAACTCAATTAAGCTCCATGTTGGCGTCCCTCTATGCTCAGTACTATGACCACAGATAAATCTAATGTTCACAAACGAACTCGCGGGGTCGCTTAATTTGACTTTTCTTCTCTTTGCGAACACTCTCAGATTTGGAGGACAATCAAACGGGTAGAAGACCAAATGACACTGCAAGGGGATTTCAACAGGGCATACGAGGGATCATGTTTGAGTTTAACTCTGCCATTGCAAACTTTTGCGCGTACGCCACAGTGCATCTACGAATATCGACTGGGAGCACACGTTAAGCAGCACGTTTTTCACGCGCGCGATATTGGAATTCTCGTGCAGGACGATCTTGGATGCTCAAAGCAGACCGAAAGGGCAATGTAAAATGTCAGCCAACAATCAGGCTTACTGCAGAGGGCGTTTGGTCGGTTTGATCCTGCCTTATTTTCACAAATGCTACACGCTCACCCGAAACACTACTCTGAAGGCACCATTCAGGTGCAGAAACCATGTCAAAAAACCTGAATTAGTTGAATTGGAGAATCCACAACGGAGGGCGACTAAATACATTCTAGGATTGCTCCATCTCAATTATAAAGTAAGAGTAATGACTCTATGGGTTTTTATTAAACAATATCGTTTTCTGCAAGGTGACCTCATATTGATATATCAGATTTGCAGGGATTTTAACCACCCAGGCGAAGCTTTATTGAAACTCATTCATAACACCTCGCTGAGAAGCCATCATCTGAGGATGGCGAACTAGTATAGTTGTATGGAATGCCGCCAGATGTTTTCATTTATTTAACCATTCTAGCAGTGCAATTTACTTCCGCATTCTGTCTGATGTGCTACTACGTTGCCCGAATAGAAAACTCGACTTGTTGATGCATTACGCCACCTGGAGTACATGACATGACCGAAGGTACTGGGACACGGGACAATGTAACGAAACAATGTGCACATGTGAAATTTGTGATAATTCAACTGCTACGCGTTTTCTGCTGCATTCCTTTCTAAGTTCACTGTATATCTACGGAAATCTGTCAAGCGTATGCTTTTCTTTTTGTGATAATCCATTGTTCCCATGTACCTTCATCGAAATATTATGATGACTATGCTTGCATGAGAAAATCCCTCGATGAGATAGTACGAGGAGAACAGATAAATAGAAACACTCATGTAACTTTTGTCATAAATATCCACCAAAAAGCTATGACATGAATCGCATTCCCCGATATTCCAATTATAGCTATTGATTTTGCAGGAGAATAGTCAATTTTGTGCAAAATTATTTTTGAATCTTCAGATTTCACTTATTGAATCGTGTGTGATGTACGTAATAAAATAAGTATTAAGGTTGTTATTATTAGCCCAGTGCATACACGGGGTTCTACCACAAAGGCAATATAATTGATTTGGACAAACGCAGAATGAAACAGATGTATGGAATGGAAATACCAGCTGAACCTTACCTGCTGTCGAAAACAAGCCGATTATTCACTGGTATACATAGCCCAAGTTGAAATATCCCAGTACAGAGCACAGTGCATAATCATATGAATTTCTGTAATCGGTCAGCGATGTATGTGACATCGCCTTAACAACCATCACAGCACAGTTATGCTTTAAGTAGCCTGCCTCGGTTAGATAGCTGTCCACAATTTTGTATTTCTAGCTTCACTGTACAGATCACTATGGTGGAGGAAATTATTTTGAAGTCAATATGAAGCTGCATTCCTGCTAACGTACCTTATTCTACTAGCAGTCAAGCTGAGCGCCGTACTCGCTTCAGGTGTGGAGATTAACTGGCTGCGGAGTTGGAAACAAGTGCAGCATTGAATAAGGCCGATGATAAAGCATGAGCATGATTTGCTCTTAAAACTTCCAGAGATATCTCACATTCTCAACACACCAACTAGGCAATAAAAAGTGAAGTGTTCAATATTGGGTAGAGTAAAGCGGATATATCGCATAAGTAGTAGATTTATAAGGAAGGACGAGTAGAGCGATGGACAACACTGCAGCATACTCACCGTGTCCAGGGTTGCAAGAGTAGCAGACAATTTGGTCGCACAGAATTGGGAATCGTGGTCATATTCGCAACCAAATGCCGCGGAGCAAAACGTTTTGGGTTTGACAAGGAAATAGGTGTATTCTGGTTTTACGAGACCGTGTTTAGACCCCTCCTTGGGCCAGCCGATATACAGACTTATGTTTTCCATCACAGGGGTTATTACATAGGGGATTGGATGACGCCACATTTTTCCGTAATCCAACAGTATATCGCTCAGGTGCGCATGGTTCTCCAATTTTAGAATGGCGAGATTTCCACTTTGACACTGGTTCTCTGCAAAGCAACATAACTCAGTGTTATAAATGAATTCGTGTGGATATAAGTGGGAATGTATTGCTTTCTAATTAGTTTGGGTATGTTTACAGTCCAACTCGTTAATATATCTTGCTTTTGGAATACCTTACTTCTGCTTCTGAATTTGCTTCTGAGCTGCCATTCAATCAAAAGATAATGGGCAGTGACTTTAGTGTACCAGAGATTTCATGTACAGAGTATACGGCACCAAGTAGTCTGTTGAGCTGCTTTTCCACGTCCGGGCCCAAGGATGCGCACAAATGATTCATAAGCTTACCATGGAAAATAATATGTTAGACCTCCGTTCTGTCCAATTTATACAACTTACATATGTCGCTTTCCTCAAGTACTGAGAGTAGAGTCACGTACCGTTTGTCTCCAGCACGGGATCAAGACTCACAATGTAACACAAGATACCTAGTAGAGCATTCAAGGTACTTTAAAATGTAAGCTTGAGTACATTTGTTGTACAGCTACAGAAAGCAAAATGGGAACTTTGCTTTCTAACCAGAGATCCAGAGATTGAAGCAAAACAACTTACACTGATATCTAAAACTGTCACCATATATTTTTATTAGTCCTACTGAAATCTCATAAGCGGTTTTCTACACTAACTACGTGCGAGGTATGCCTTTTGAGTAACCTGAAGTTACTTCGCTCAACAATAAGACATACTTGAGAGTTCACCTTGCTAATCTGACAGGATAAGCTTTAAGAATATTCGCTGGGGATTCGTCCCAATGCTACTAGCAGGATTGGCACATGACAATGTATCTAAAGCCTTGGTCAAGCTACTAAAGCTCAGAAACCACAGTCAAATTAAATCGGTATCATGCACTGTGCAACCGGACAGAACCGTGACCAGTGGCTCCACCAGAATATGGGACGTGATAAATGAACACTTTGTTTACTACATCAAGCAACACATTTAATCTCAGCGCTTCTGCTGATGGTAGAAGAGTGAGCATTGTACAGTGCGATTGCGACATTACTCAAGCAACTTTTGCTCGGCTACATCTTTCGTCTCATCCTGTACCTGATGGTCCAGCGGTATGATTAAATATGGTGTGTTAGGTTCATTGCTCTTTCTAATGTATACAAATGATATTACCATTGTTAGTCGCGTTGGTCTGAGGCCAACGCAGGGTTAAATTACGGACGCGTGTTTTCTGTGCACATAGGTCCGGGTTGTTGTACTATCCCAGCAACAGACGGAAAATGTGATATGGGTTCTGCAGAATCTGGTAAACCATTATGAGATCCCCCCGAAAAAGCCGATATCGACTGCTGTACATTCTTAGAGGATTCAGTCTAAGCTGATAAAGTAAATGAAAGCGTCCTCTGAACTTCTTGTTTACCCTTTATTGAGGAAACTCGTGAGCAACGAGATCCTGTTTCTGTTATGGCTGCCACGTCTTAATTGCATATTCCACACTCCGTCGCACGTAGGCGTTAATCATTTGGGGAAAGATTGAGGGTTCAAACTGATCGAAAGCTTTGCAAAGCAGGCCCAAGTGTTGAGTGCCGGTCCTCCTCGCCTTCTCTGCTCGTTCTGAACACCCGAGATATTCCTATACCAATCACCCAGGTCACGCTCCTGAGAGACCTTCCCCAATGTGTGGTCTCCAAGCTTGTAAGCGCTCACCTGCTGGTGACACAGATGGATCAACTTGCACTTAGCTATGTTCAACTGAAGCAAGTTCCTTTTCGACCATTCATAAATGCAATCAGGTGAAGTTGGAATATATCGTGATCTTTATTGTTACTAATCAAATCTTGACCTTATTAGCGAAAAGGAATAAAGTTGAGGAGATAAATCTTGTCAGGTCGTTGATAAATATCAGGAATGAGCGTGCTCTAAGCTATGAGTCTTGTGGGACACCACATCCTACCTCACTCGAGTTAGATAGTTATCCGCTAACGCGTACTTGAAGCTTCCGTTGATGAAGAAATTTGCCAATCCAAAAAAGAGCAGGATCTCCGATTTCGTAGCTCTGTAGCCGGTGAAGTAGGATGCGATGATCCAGGCAGTCGAAAGCTTTGGAGAAGTAAAGTTAGATGACGTCAACTCCGAAAACATCACCAGCCACTTCCGTCTAACTACCTCGTGCAATCGGTAGGTTGGTGGTGCATGACCGGTGTTGACGGAAGCCACGTTAATCCGGTGCCAAGATATCGCATTTTTCCGCGTAGTCAGTTAGAGCATCAGCGGTGATCGCTTCCATCACCTTCTCGAGCAGAGGAAGGATACTCATTAGGCGATAGTTTGCTAGATATGAAAGGTTACCTCCATTAAAAATGGGGTGATACTGCCACGCTTCCACATAATGGGGACTTGTTGTTCATCAAACCACATTTAAAAGAACTGTGACAATGGTTCTATCAGCTTGTCGGCTGCAGCCTTCAATGATTTCAGGCGGATGTTGTCTGCTGCCGGAGAGTTACGCTCCACAGTGACAGTGACTTAACACGATTGGTGGGTTAAAAATTGCGCGTATCAACAATTTAGACGGTAATGTGCATGACATTAATAGACAGGTAGTGGCTGCGTGTTCCAATATTGAAAAATATGTTATCCGCAGGACCCTATCTGCTTCTTCGGCATGGAGGGATTCCATACTTCATTTTAGGAAGTTTGTTGACATGGCTATACAACAGTTAGTTGTTTTCCAGGAATATTTTTGGCGAGGTACCGTGTTAAGCTACTTTGTCTTCACGGATATTTGTATGGCAGTGGTTGAGATGGGTCATGAAATTGCCCCAAGTATCTAAGTCGGGGTTAATCTTGTTGGCACACCATGCTACATCGCTTATCGCCAGGCATTTTCGGGTCATGCGCCTTAGAATTGAAGGCATTTTTGAGGGACGCAGGGGCTTGGTCTCGGATACTCTTTTGAGGATGTCGCTGAGTCTATTAACGAACTCAGTCCAAACGTTTCAAGGTGACTTTTGTTTGAGAATTTCCAAGCCGCTGCTTCGACGTGTTCTTTCAATACGTGGTAGCGTGTGATTGCATGAGTTAGTTTCGAGTGTTCAGATGGATACTCCACATAACACACATACGTAAACGTTATTACTACATGGTCATTGATACCTAATGGACTATCCGTCAATAACTTATCGACCATGAGCTCTCCATTGCTGATCACAAGGTCCAATATGGACGGTTAGTTTGCTGTCCTGAATCTAGTAGGCGTGGTGACAAGATTATACAATTACATTTTAGAGATCAGTTCATGCAATTATGCATCGAACTGCTTATTGGGTGATGCCGAAACCTCCAGATCGTGTAGATTGAATTCCCCGGAGGTGAGAATGTGACTGTACCTATTGCGTGTTACTCTGTACAAGCCACAGATCAAGCGGGAATCAATTTCCTGATCGGACATATGGGGGGCGGTAAACGACAGCTACGAGACATGCGTCATTGTGTCTTAGTCAGTGACGGCAACAGAGTGAGTCGATAACGTGAGTTTTCAGACCTTCAATTATTGCACATTACAGGTCGCTGAGGTAATAGTTAGGACCCAACCTCCTCTGCTAAGGCCGTCGGTCCGGTTGAGTGAATTTCCGGCTATCTCAACCTCATCATCAGTCACTTCTTATTGTTACCGATTTTCAGTAATAGAATTTCGATCCCAAGCTTTGCAACCAGATGTAGCCGAAGTTGGCTAAGATTACTGAGGAGCCCTTCGGCGTTGGTGTACACGCATGAAAGTTTCTCAGATTTAAGCAATGTTTCGGAGGTTGTGCTATTCATAGGTGAAGTTTCGCCGACCAGTGAGTGGCCGGCCACTAATCGTTTTATCGATGTGTACTTGGTGAAGGACTTAACGTCTTATCCATCCTGTGTCAAATCTTCTACCGAAAATGTAATTTGTCTGGTCAGTATCATCTTCTACAGGTTGTATGGGCTCATTCGATACACTACTGGTGAATTGGTCTTTTATGAATTCCATCGCGTTTGGTTCCTTGTGTGACATGTCATCTCTAGGAGGCATATCGCTGACTGTCCACAGACGATGCTTAGATGTTAGCCTGCAACGGAACATGTGCCAAATGTTTATCAACCGTGCGACCAAATGTTTTGAATGTAGGATCACCTTCAACACTCTCGGGCCTCTTCCTTGGTAGTACGGTGAGGTAGGTAGCCGTGACACGGATTTCGCTAAACATCATCCAAGCAAAGTGTTTCACGAATATAACACCGCTGTTCTTTACATTTGGTTCTTATTTCTTGCTCATCACATGCTTTAGTTTCAAAAGCACCGTGAACATTTATGGTTCTGATTTAAGTTTCGTTCTGGTTGTCCTCTAAATTGTGGTTAACTCGATAACGCTGGCCCCATGGGATGTCTGGAAAGATACGGATAGAGGAATGTTCATTGCTGAGACTACTTGTCGACAGCAGTACTGATTTTACTTCAGTGATGGAGTTCAGCACAACGGGCAGAAGTCTTGCCTCTCCGGAATGCTTAGACTTGGGGTGTCGAGTGATATGCAGTACGTGTACATGTTTCAGTACAACTCTGATTAGGTTACTAGAAATATACCAGTGGTTGTGGTCATACAACTGCCTGCCACTTTTTGATATCGACGTTGGTTCTGGGCTATTGGAGCATATTACTCTAGTACAGGTAGTTGTTTTTTCATCTTTCGACATGTCGTGCATAGTGATTGAAATACTCGGAGATGGACCGCAGGAAACCGGGGGTGCTTGCACTAGGAATACTCCCCTCCGCTCCTCAGTATCCGATCCACTTGGGGATGCTTATTTTAAATGACGGCTCTTCTTGAAAGCAATTGTAACCCAACTTGCGCTAGTACCGGCTTTCTGCTTTTCTTTGCAATCAGTCGGGGGTTGGAAGTAGACTTATGTGTTTTTACTCCGATCAAACTGGGAACCGCATTATTCACCTGCGAACCATGTGTGGTAGTGGAACAGCAGTTGATGTTCTGGACTCTACTTGTTGTGTTGCTTGCGGTGTTACTGGCAGTTCTTCTTGGGATAAGAGCAGCACTTAGGGGGAAGAATTGGGTTGCACATTCCGTTATGCTTACCCCAACCGTAGTGAATTTGGTAGTCACCATTTCTTCAAACTTTGTTAGTAGCTGGCTTAACCCAACCACTTTGATTTACTTTTAAAATTCCTTCCCTCTTCTCGGCTTGACTTCAACTGTTGTCCTCATGTAAACTTATCGGAGAGCAACGTGAAGCTAATCGATTATTCTTCCAACATCTTCATCTCTATTTCTAATATGTCTCCTACATTTTTCCTCTTAATCGCTTACGCCTAGCGTACTTTCAAACCGAAACCTTTGAGGCGGTTGACAAATACTAACCACGATCGCCTCAGACACATGAGATAAATCTCTTATCCTATCTCTCTCGAATCGTGTGTACAGCAACTGAAATGAAAATTGGGGACTACCTCCTAGTTTAAATTTTTTTATTAATCCATAATATACGGAATATGTTTTGCCTAAATCAGACGCTATCTACTGCAAGGGTGATTTAGGTATTATTCTTTCGCTTATCCCCATAAAGTTGCACTTCTTCAACCAGAGGTATAGGGAATTTTGTGATGCGTGCACGGAGTTATCCGTCAGGACTCCATGCATTATTCTGTACCAATTCAAGACTTTTAACCGGAAAACTATGGAAGTTAAAAAGCATTATTTTCTATTTATACCTGATATTTGAAATATGCTAAATATTAGATGAAGCAATTTTAAAACCTTGGTCAAAGCGAAATGAACTGTCTCGTAAACCTGATAATATACACTATTATTTTCGTTAACATACACATTGGGACAATGCATGTTTTAACTGTACGAAGCATATCATTGTTGGAGAAATGACTCAATAAACATATGTGCTAGCTTTGTTGAACACAATCCATTAGTGTCTTGATTAATCGTAGTCAGCTTCCGCATTCGTTGATATAGAAACAAGGTGTGTAAATAACTCACTCATTAAATAATCATCATGTGGTATTCTTGTTTCGACTTTGAACAGTCTGGGCATGAGTGAGGAGTTCAGACTATTTTATGAATGAAAGGAGAGAGTATAGAAAAGTAAGGATTTAAACCACATATTTTCTTCGAATGTTTCCCAAATGCTTCAATATATTTGTGTTACGGTATGCTTGGTAGTGACATTTTGTCTCAGGGAAAGCATCATCAACAGTCAGTTTCTACACACGGTGGATCCTTCATTGCCTAATACTAATAAGTATGTTAAGAGGTACTGACGGACGAAAAGATGTAGAGTAATCACATTTTTATTTTGTCCGTAGGCACACACGATCAACCAATCATCGATGCAGCTGCGTTCGATAAATTTTGCGCACATGTTTTTATGCATGTCCGACGGTTTCTTGCATGCCCCAAATCACAAAACCGAACACATAATAGCCGGCGTTTAACTGGGCGCTTTTCTCCCAATCAGGAAAACTGGTGATGTTCGGGCCGTCTGCTTAGCAACTAGATGCGCAGGGCCAAGTTATCATTTCAAGTGAATTAACCCCGACCTCACTTATGTTCCTTCAAGTTTACTGACTTGTTAGGAACGTACACGTTTTAATATTACATAACGAATATCGTCTGTCAACGAAATGATGTGACTTTAATAATATGGTGTTTCGGATTCTTCGAAAAATGCTAGCATAGTAAAAGTATATCTGCACAGTTAAAATGCTTGACCAAGCAATCCACGCGTTAGAAACACAGGTAATTCCGGAGATTTGAGGCCATTTGCTTGAAGTTGATTGCACGCAAAATCAAACAAACAAACTACTTTATATGCAGACACCATGGACTTACAGGTGATAAGGTTCGACGGCCACCTGGAATGAAGTGAATGACATGCTTGCTATTTGTTTTAGAAATCGATGTCTTTACGCTGACCCTATGCGTATTACATAGCCATATGACCAGATAATCCTATGAATTATGCAACTGGGAAACGACTCTCAGTTTGCATTATCAAACGACTAATTTTTTAACGCTTCTCATGCATCAACAGATATCAGACGTGTATGAGGTTCTTGAGGACTAGCTTGAAACAACACTGCATTAAATACACCATCTGCCTTGTCAATGAATTACTGATTGGATACAGTCAATGAAATATTGTCTTATATCATAAGTCGATTACATAGGGTGTTTAAGACTTATTTTTCCCATGATAGTTTGGATCACATAGCTTATTATAGGTACTGGTACATTAACTATTAATTTTGCCTACTCAACTATCTGATGTAAGGAATGTGCCTTAATTATAGTTTGGTATATCCTCAATTGCCGCTGTTGATCATTATATTTTATTGCATTTGCGTAAATCGGTATTTGTCACAAATAGCCCTCATCTCTCTGTCGTAGCTCATCCATTGTTGCCTTTTCCTTTAGTCCCCACATTGATCAGCTTTACGCTTGTCGAATTTGATAATCAGAATAGGCATTAAGCGCACGACTTATGAGCGTCATTTCTGTCAACAATGCATTCACTTGGTATACACCGAGTGCATAACCAACAAATTGATATGTTTGATGCAGCGATTCCTGGCCAAAGGGAATCAAGTAACTGTGGTATGTATACAACGAAAACAGTATTTGTACACACAAGCAAAGTTTACAATAATACACTCAGTACTGATAGCTGATATGGAAATATCTTTGCCGTATTCACATCCGCTGCAACCAGCTCCTAACTACTGGAAAACCGACTTCGATGGTCTAGCTCGAGCCGCGAGCCAACTGGATTGGTCTCTGTCACAAGCTGCATCTGTGGAAGATTGTTGGATATTTATAAAAGAGAGATTTGCATTATTGTTTTCCCCATTTGTGCCATTGAAATGTCGAAAGGTTGGAGCGATTAAGCCTCATTGGTTTGATAAGGAGTATGGAAACCTGGCTCGGATGCGGCGCAGACTGTGGGACAAATTCCTTCTCTCTGGCTCTGCCAATGATTACGAAGGGTATAAATGTCAGCGGAACCTCTGCAACAGTGCGAAAAAGAATAAACGCCGACACTTTGAAGTGCAGCTCGCAATCGCCGCGAAGACCGCCCCAAAGAGAATCTTTGCATACGTGAAGCGACGCCTGAAGCCGGCAGGTGATGTGCCAGTGCTGGATGGCACGGATGGACAGCCCCTAACCTCCAGCACTGAGCGTGCGTCCGCGTTGGCGGCGCACTTCGCTTCTGTATTTGCGAATAACCAGGTGTCTGTTCCGAGTTCCACGTGTACCGCTTTTACCGAACTCGATAGTCTGCAATGCGGCGTTGAAGAGGTAGCTCAACTACTCGCCAACCTTGACGGCACCAAACCTGCCGGACCTGATGGGCTTCACCCACTGGTTCTCAAGTCACTTTTAACCATCCTCTCTCCTGTCGTGACTGACCTTTTCAACAGGTCGCTGTCCGAAGGTTCGTTGCCGGTTGACTGGAAATGTGCGGTGGTGAAGCCTATTCCGAAAGGCGGCGACCCTAGCTAAGTAGACAATTACAGGCCAATTTGTCTGACACCTATTTTGGCCAAGGTTGCTGAGAAAATCGTGAAGAAGAGATTGCTGCAGTTACTACAGTCAAACGAGGTCCTGAAGCCCTCACAGCACGGTTTTATGCAAGGTCGCTCATGTATTACGAACCTGCTTGTGACGAGGCATGAGTGGTTGAAGGCAATAAACAAGGGGAAATCCGTCGACGTTATCTTCATCGATTTCAGTAAAGCGTTCGACAAAGTCAGTCATGAGGTTCTCCTTCACAAGCTCAGCATGTGTGGCGTCGGTGGCTCTCTGCACCGGTGGATCAGCGACTTTCTTGTTGGACGAAAGTGGAGGGTACAGGTAGACGACCATCTAACTGACTGGTACCCCTCTACAAGTGGCGTGCCTCAAGGCACTGTGCTGGGGCCCACTCTGTTCCTGATCCACATCAATGATCTACCGCAGCTTCTCCGGTCGCCGTGTGTCTTGTATGAGGACGACATGAAGATTTGGAGAGAAGTCGACGCTCCCGATGACTGTGGCCTACTTCAGCAAGATCTCAACCGCTTATCCACATGGTCTGCAGAAGTTCTTCTCCCGGTCAACCCAGCCAAGTCCGTATTTATGAGCCTGGGGAAGGGTGTTAACGACCGAACCTACACTCTTGACGGCCAAACGCTATATCCCACACCCTCCGTGAAGGACCTAGGTGTACTCTCACGAAGTCCGTGGACAACACGAACAGTTATATCGGAACGGACTGTGCATGCTTTGGGAGCTCAAACGTAGCTGCGGCACATGGTCTGAAGAGGTTGCCACTCGCCTGTTCTCTTCTATAATTAGACCAATGCTAGAGTACGGTTCGCCCGCCTACTTTCCGATTACCCGAGGCGAGGCACAAAATATCGAACGGGTCAAACACGTTGCTACCAGGCTCATCCCGAGTTTACGTGGCTTTGGGTATGAAGACCGGTGCGAGAAACTAGGGCTCTACAACTTGTCCTACCGTCGGGTGCGAGTCGACCTCATTATGGCCTACCGAATTCTACATCTCGGTGAGTTCCCCATGTTAAGGCCAATGCTGCATTTACGAGGGCCATGCAGCACACGCGGACACAGATACAAACATGTCGTGCCGGATATGAAATGCGTTCCCCACCCACTGTGCTTCGAAAGGAGAGTGGTAAACATTTGGAACAGTTTGCCCGAACATGTGATTGAGGCAACATCTGTGCAGCAGTTCAAAACGTTGTTAGATTTGTATTTTGTCTCTATTCGATTCAGAGAACGACTGCACACTTACGATGACATATCACATTTGCGAATCCTGAAATATCGTAAGTCGAATATTTTAAATATTACATGAGAACGACAATGATATTCACGGTTGACAATTTTATAACGTTTTTCGCCATATTTCGAAAGAGTTGTACAGAATCCATTTCTACTTGCTCTATAATACAGTATTCAGTATTCAGTGGGAAGCCGACATTAAGAAGAACATGTACCATATATATTCATGATCTCGGAGGCTATCGCAAGAAGTCACTACAGCTTGCGAGTGATGACATAATGAAGCTGCATCTTGAAACTACGGTTTTACTACCGTAACTGCTTACCATAAATTCTCTGTCAGGCGTTCCTATATCGATATACGTCGGTGACATCATGGACCTGAGCAGGCAAAAATTATAGTTTGATAAAACAAGCAGCTGACATGTAGCTAACTCATCGGCTCATTAAGATCAAAGAAATTAATAGTACACAGCAGACTACAGGTTGTGTTATCTCAAATTTTCCTGACAGGCTGTATTACAGCTTACGGCTCTGCGCGAGCATACGGTGCTCTTAGGCTGTGTACTATATATTACGGCAAAGGTGGATATTTCATTAGTATACACACGGACTGTGTACCCTCAGATAGCGTAATAATCCACACAGTTCCTCGAATATGATCAAAAATAAAGTAGCTCAGTCGTTGCATATTTTATACTGAGCCGAAAGCAATCGTCGATCAACAATGTTGTCAGGCTATGCTACAGAACATTTTGTACATTGGATAGTCCCTGTATTGCGGATATAAAATTGAATGCTTAAACAGTCTATTTGCATGGTGGGAATAATCAAGACAAAAACAGTGAAAGGAAACTATGGTGATACAATGAAGATACTTTTGGCAGAGTCACTATAGTGTATGCAAGAGTTATGCGAGAAGCAGCGCGTTTCCATTTTGTAACTTAATGCTTGTCGTTGCGCCATTTAAAGGCTGTATCTTATATCGAATCACACCGGCTACAATTCTTAATGTAGATGGGTTATGCTAGAATCCATATGTTTGTTCAAAATTTGGTTAGTGTTCCTCAGTATCTTGTAGATAGCTATTAAGCCACCAGGTAGGTGACTTTAGTAACTGTCGTAAAATGAAGCTATGCAGCTTTGGTTGATAGTATGGTAGAAAAAAGATTGCTGTGCGTTGTGTCACTATTCCGTGAGAACTACGGTATCGATTTTGGTCTAGAGCAGCCAGGCGTGCATTGCATATTCTACATGAGGCCGCACTTAGGTGTTATGTATCTGCGGAGAGACAGATGGATATAAACGTCCCATTGCCGTCAGCGGGATACCGAAACTCAGTATGAGAAAATGGTATTAGAATAAACATTTGGATGGTTACCTTTACCTAAAAAATGGACGAAGCAAGGAAAAATCTAATGAGGTCTGTAGCTTTTTTCCATTAAAATGAAAAGCCTAGTGTGCTCAAATTCTCAGGAGGCGCTAAAAGATCCCATGGTACCAATTTTCTCATGAAGATTTCTTACCAAGAGGGAACCCAAAATGCACAGCAGAAAGCAGTTAAACAGCACTTCTGTGATGAGCTACTTACCGAAATAGTTCGTCAACATTTGTCCCCAAACAACTGGCCGTGGTTAAAACATATTTACTGTAGATCAGTACACCTGTACAAATTCTCGGGTCCGGTTCCCATTTGGTTATCCTGACTAGCCAAGTGTACTTTGAGTTGGGCAATACGATGCCACCAAATATGCGCTTTTGCAATCTTGCTCGTGCAGCTATAATAAGAGAACACATGAATGAAGTTATTACTTGTTTTATGTAAATCCAATAGGCTTCAGTTCAGGTAGAGGACGATGACACTTTCAGTCACTCTCACCATCTCTCTGTTGACTTCAAAATTAAATGCATGTACTGTTTCAGATTGCGCACGTGACGCAAATGCTAGTAGCATTACTAAATTTTAGGGGGGGGGGCTTAGTATGTATTTGAGCAGATTCGTCGCATCCAGGATCAGCCAGGCAGTCACCAAATATTCAGGAAAGCACTTCCCTATTTGCAGTAAACGTCTAGCGGTCTCATGCTGTGCGCAATGTCCTCACACAGAGTACGAGACTTCTAACACAAATTGCCACGGACCTGCGTATTTCTAACTGAGAGAGAAAGCGTTAAACAGCTGACAGGCAACTTGGTAGGTCGCAAGCTTCTCGTTTACATTCACATCGTTTGCCTGAATAGGTACAGTACTAATTTGGGGAAATATGGCCCCAGAAGTCTTAGACCGTCATTTTGTTTGAGTAAATCCTCAACATAAATCATTTACAACAAGGCGAACAGTGTGCAAAATTTATACGTGATGTCTAAGAAAACGCGGTAGAACGGTGGCTTTTTAATGGAAACAAGAAGAGTACATAAGAGAAGTCTGTCTTACCAACAATGAAGATGAGACACAGCCGAATTCCGAAATTCATCTTCCTGAAATAAAATAAAGTAGGCCAGTTTTAATGAGAAAATGTCCCCGAAGTATGTAATTTAGACTGGCTAACATCTTGTCTCTGCATCTGCAGGAAGACATTTACAGTCCAATGATACAACACTCAAATATGTGCATGAAAATGGGGACATACTAAATGGTGTCGTCCACTGCAAACGTTGACAAGCCTAAAGAACGACAACGGGGCCGGTGGTTGAAAGATGCCGATGGCAATCTCTTTCGAGCCTTCATATACCCTCAGAGATTGGTCAATTGAAAAATCACCACAGACAACCGGCTCACAAAATCAAAAACTAAAAATGCGTGTTTATTGGTCATTGCGCGCGACTTGTGTTTAGTTGTCACTCAGTTGACCTACTGACATGCAACTAGAGACCCACTGCATGCAGTTTCAACCAAGTGTACCAATTGCGATTTGTGATCAAGGTACTTCGTTCGTAATTGGCCCACAAAGACGGGATGAATCAAGCTGAAATAAAAGGAAAACCAACGCGTCTTGCACTTAGTTCAGAGCAGTGACTGTTGCATTATCCACCTTGCAGTCTAGATGCGATAGAAATATAATATCGGCATTGGCCAACGACTCCTTCAGTACAACGGCAGTATAACTGATCTAAATTCCAGGCCTACTCAAAGAAGCCAAATCAACCAGTGGTCAAAGGACATCAGACCATTCCTTGACTCGTAACTCAGAACAGGTACCGGCTACAGTAACAGTGGGCTTGCAATGTAACGTGTTATTTCTAGTTTTAAGTTGCACTTAGTAAAGAATGTTGGTGAAAGTAAATCCAACAACATTTTAAACTGCTGTATAGAATGCGCCCCCACGACTTTCTCTAGTAGAATGTTCCAGACATTTACATCTTCCTTTCAAAAACACAAGGTTGGCGAAATCGCTTACATCTGGCACCACCAATTTGTGCCGATGATTGCACTTGCTGTATGGAGTTCGTAAATAAAACAGCGGTCGTAACATGAGGATGTCACCACGATGTACTAGGCGGTAGATCAAAAGGAGATCAACTCGCACTCGACCATAGAATAGCGTGTAGTTTCTCGCACCGACCATGGTAGGCCAATGCATTAAAACCCGGAATGCGCCACGTGGCGACCTGTTGGACTCATTCATTCTCCTTTGTCTCATCAAGGGTGATTGCATAGTGGGCGGGCGGGCCGTACAAGAATATAGGTCTCATGATGGAGGAGAAGAGGCGAGTGGCCACAACTTCAGACCAAGTATAGGAGTTTGCGCTGTTCACCATAAAATAGCCCATACCTGTAGTGCACAGACTTCAAAAGTACACACAGGTACTTGGCGGATGGCGTAAGATGTAATCGCTGGACGTCACCGGTGTAAGTTGGATAGGCACTATCCTTACTCAATTGCATGAATACTGGATTACCTGGCTTGACTAGGAAGGTGAAAGTAGCAAACCGCATGGAGAGGCGATTTAGGTCGTAAGTAAGAAGGCTGCAGTCGTCTATGGCACTTATTCCTCGCTACATCCTCAGGTAGATCTCAAACATAGCACACGACAAACAAGAAAACTGGAGTAGATCATTGCTGAAGATTAGGAAAATTGGGAGCCCCAGCACCATGTCTTCGGGTACGCAACTACTGGAGAGAAACTAGTCATTTCGATGATAAATTTGTACCACCTCCGAATAAAGTGGATGGTACGGAGTGAAGGGAAGCCGACCGGTGTTGGCGTCAGTAGTTCTTTTGATTGGGACAGCTGTAATAAAGCTAAATTATAGGTGTTTCCATCTACCTTGATCCTAATAGGTATCAGGCATCCATATTTTCTCGGTAAATAGCCTTTGGTCATTGACCAGTTAAATGAATAAGTCACGGCAGGCGAAATGATGGCCAGAGGGACTTGCGTAAATGTGCAGTCTATCATGGCGATTGCGTTTTTTGGCGTCAACTTTGGCGAGTAGCAGACGCACCTGTTCAACGCAAACCAAAGTGCTGATTTTGGTAAGCGCGGTGCGTGTTGAACTCGGTGAAGACACCAGATCACAGGCCAACACGGAGTAGAAATGCGCCACCAAAGCGGACACAGACTTGAAGCTATCCGAGACCTCTAGCACTGGGAAATCACTTGCAGGGTTCAGGCGCCTTTTGTCGTAAGCAAACCTTCTTTCCAGAGCTGCCTTTGTGACCTTTGAGAGCTGTTCCTCCAATTGTCAAAGTTAGCTTGTCCCGTACTGTTGCATTTATTTTCCTGCCTCTTGTACGCCTCGTATTAGCAAGGAGAGTTAGAGAGGAGGTATTTGTTTTACAATCGAAGCAGCCGTAAAGTAATTTCGCTATTAACCATGGACTGAATCAAAATTTGGCACTTCATGGGTACAACCTAGAGCGTCAAAATGCTTCTCCCTCTCTTACAACAGACCAAAAGATTTTCCAATCGCAACTCAAGACGGAGACTTATCCACTTGTCTAGTACCTCGAATAAGTCCGTCGACGTCACTTTCCTAATAGTTGTGATCTCACTCCAGCAGACTGGAATACTGCTAAGATCGATCCATGCTGGTTATGAGAACAGGGTGGTCGCTTGCTGCAAAGTGCTTTAGGATCAGCACATCATACGCATGTTGTTCAGAAACTGTTAACGTTAAGTCTAGGCACGATGGAATTCAACACGTTTTTATTTGTGTCAATTCATATGGGTTGCCGTCTTTCACTTTCAAGTTCCAAGTTCACGAACTGTGCTTAGACCTCAAAATGTCGGGACATTAGTTGGGCTGCAAATCAGTATACTCTAAGATAATTAAAATCAGCAATAATTATAAAATGGAGACGGCCCTTGTGGCCACGGAGATGAGGAAATTAATCAAAACAAATTCTCAGTGGCAAGTGATGAATTACACCCACTGGCTGCCCTCCGCGCCTAATGTGGATTAGCTACTAGAGCTGGTCACACAGGCCATCATTGCTTCTGTAAACGTTCATCATGCTTCCGCACTGGAAGTAGGGATGTAAAGCAAGACCTCCTCGTGAGCAGTCGATAATGTGCCGCAGCGGGAGCACGTATAGCCATCGAGCTCGATTTCTTGCGCAATCACCTTAGTATTCAGTCCTCTGTGCTAGTTCCCCTACGTCCGGTCATCCAAGTTCAACGAAAAGACTCAGTACATTACGCTTGTTCATAAGGCTGGAAATGTTGCCAAGGCTAATAGCAGTCCGCCTTAGCACTTACTGGGTCTGCATGAATTGTGCGTAATGTGTTTATCCGGCTTGCTGATAGCATGGATACTATACGAATAGTTAGAATACTGATAGTTGTTACCACATTTCTTTTCATCCCTTCAGCTCAATAATGGTAAGCATGAGCCGTAATCGATCCACCGGATAAAGTCTAAACCAGCTTGGATCCTCGAACCTTTCAACTTATTTAGGTTTGATAGTATAACTTGTGGACTACCATCGTCCACGGAGTTGCTTCATATGGTATGATTTTGTTGTTGACGGCTCCAAAACCGGTAAAATTCCTCACTTTCCATCCGCTCTCACCCAAATCGCGAAATCTAGCAATAGGTCTTGGTAAAATCCCGACGTCGTGATTGTAGAACATATGAGGACTTAAATCACTGGACTGAGGCATGTGTAATATTATGAAGATAAAAGGTTTCCGGTCAACCATGTTTGATTTTCAGAGCGAAGATTTCATTGAGCTTCTCGGAATTTGGCCTGCATTTGAACTTTCAATTTATTTTCCTGGTGTCTTAAGTACATAGGCACTATCACACTGGGATATCTGCAGTTGGAAGATACCACACGGTTAAAGGATTCATGTCAGGTGAAACAGGGCTGTCCGCAGATGTAGGACTTTGTGCAAGTGTGTATACCTAGGAAGAAAAGCAAGGAATATTTGGAAGCTGGTTGCGTTTAGGGCTGGCGTGTTAGGCCAAACAAACGGAGCTACCTGCGATGTACTGATTCAGCCTACAACAATGATGCATCACAATTCTGAAATTCCTAAACATAAATCGTACGAAATCATGTTGCATTTGACAGTGATGCTGAAAGCGCTCAACCGATTGCCCAAGGTATGAATTGTGACCAGTAACGCGGCACATAACATAATAGTTTGATTGCCGAAAATTTTTATCTGGCGCCGCAAGATGAATATTTCGGCAACATCAATGATTCGAGATCAATATTGGGATCAGTGGGGGAGCATAAAGCGATAATAACATATCATAAATTATACGGAGGAAATACAGCTGTAAAATGTTAACATATTTATTATGCTGGTTGTAAACTGAATGATAGCGTAATTTCCACGAACTTATTCAGATTTAATGAGGAATCCAGCAAGAAATAATCTTGTTAATATGGCTTAGAAATTAACAACTGGTTGCGGCTTTCCGCAATCCTGCAGTTTCACCTGGGATCTGCTGGTGACGTACTACGGTTGGAGAGAAGAATAACTCATGAAATCTAGCTGACAGGATGTCTCGGCATTGGGAGGTCACTTCGTAAAATGATTCCTAAATGAAAATGCACCTACATGGAGCTCTAGTTATGCAGCATTAGCAGAATTCAACAGCGTGTGTTGTAGCATAAAACATTTACCAAAATCTCCTCAATAGGTTAAATAATAAGAAGCCTGCTGTTTTTGACTAAATGCTTAAGTCTCTGTTGGATATCATCACAACTTCCGGGATTGAACTGCTAAGAAGACAGATGTTTTATGGCACATAACGTAAGGGTTACAAAAGCTCGCTATGGAAGTCGATTCTGAAAGGCGTTGACCCAAGCAAGGTGGGCAGTTATCCTCAAATGTGTGCGATCTCCGTTATGACCAAGTTCGTAGAGAAGTTAATGAAACTAGCGCGCTGCAATTACTGACATAGAAAAACCTTCTGACAACTTCAAAGCCAGCTTTATTAAACATCGCTCATTAATCATCAGAATTCGACTAGCCAATAGCTATTAACCACTGCTAAGTGAATGATTTACAACAC